GGGTCGAGGCAATGAGTATGCTAATTTTTTGAGCGTCCCTAGTGTCCTTAGGGAGGACACTTACTAGGGACAATTTTGATATCTATTTTTGATTTTTTATTCTGTTCTATGTTTGTCCCTAGTGTCCTTAGTAAAAGTAAAGTTATAGGTAAAAATTCGAAACTTTACTATACTATATGTATGATCTATGTATGCTATGCTAAATATATAATATATACCGGGGTAAAAAAAAAAAAAAAAAAACTAAGAGATCCGATTTTTTCTAGGACGTTAAGGACATTAGGGACACCTACCTAGAAGTCTTCCCAGAATTTTAAAGGTGTCAAAAAACCTACTTACAACGTACTGTGAGTGTTCCTAGAAGTGTCCCCCGCATTTTTTAGGGACAACTTTCTAAGGTCAACAATCTATTGCACCGGGTATTTTTATCCTATCGAGAGCCCGACTCATTGCCTCCGGGGTCTGACAGTTCTGAAGCATATTATCCAGTGATAACGTGCTTTTGAATGGCACTTATTTACATGCCGATTACAAAACCCATATTGAGATCGATGCTGTCCATCTTACAAACCTATCATTTTTGCATAAATATCGCTGGCGTCTTTTCCAGTGAATATGACATCCTTCTGGTCGTGTACTTCCATCCCACAAACCACCCCTTCATTGGAGCGATACTAGCAAATGTAAGGATATTGGCGACAGTTTACACACTTAGCAATGTAATCCTCGCTGGATCCGATATATAGTATATCATTTTAGAATTGTTCTTCTTTTGGCTAGTTAATCTTTTAATGAATATAATAATTATTTATTTTTATTTTAAACTTTTTTCCTAGGGTATTATACCGAAGGGTATATTAGATAAATATCTCGAAAAATTTTACTATGACTCGATCAGATCTTTCAGAGTTCCTAGACGCCCCCGCCCTTTTATACCCAGAGGCTGAAAAAGATAAAAATGCTAAAATAATTCTTTATTCCGATGAGAATTACTTGGTGGATATCCCATCTCTGATGAATTGGCTATGAAAAATGATGAGGGTTCGACTTCAATTCTCAAAGATGAGATAGCGAATCATCGAGATATCTCATTCATGCCAGTCGATATAGAAGAAGCTAAAGAACATAATAATAAATTCCTCATTATATCATTCGCCTCTATGGATATCTTGTTAATGGTCAGAAAGCAGTCGTAACTATTACTGGTATTTTGGTTTTTTTCGATATCCGTGTTCCTGAAAAATGCAAGTATCCCCAAATTCTGGTCCAAAATAAAAGGAATACTCGCTACTGGGAAAGACAACAAGGGAAGCACTTTAGACATGAATCTAATCCGGATGAAATGTATAAAGGCCCTATCCGTGGTTATCATGCAGAAAAAAGCCATATATCCGTATTATTATTACACAAAATAAGATCTAAGATTTACTGCTCTCAATATTATCTCAAGCTATAATTCAAAGGCTGATCACAAAAGTAGATTAGAAACCGCTTCAGATGATATGGGCACTTATTATCGTAAAGTTGCAAGAGAGTATAAGATACCAGTTTCCAGGTGGGGCTTAGTAAGTGATTATAGATATAATTTCAGTGCTCCTTATTATGCGAAATCCCATCACTGCACGTGCATTTTATGCCCACATTGATAACTTTCGCCCCATAGACAATTTCGAACCACTTTACAAAATCCACTCATCTTCTCTCGTTGCCCACGATCGACTATTGGTTTAACATGGGATATAGAAACTTACAATTCACGTGTATCAGGGAACTTCCCAGAAGCGAAAAATGACACGTCCCAAGTCTTTATGATCTGTATGACCCTACACTGGAAAGACGATCCAATTATTCTAAAGAGAACATGTTTAGTTGATGTAGAAACAAAACCAGACCCACGCTGGATCACAATTATATGCGGGAATGAGACCAATCTCTTAAAGGCATTCGCACTATGTTGGAAAACTTTTGCCCCAGACATCCAGCACGGTTTTAACGATTCAGGATATGATTGGCCTTTCATTGTAAAAAAAGGCACCAAGTTAAATGTTCTCAAGTGAATGGTTGGAATTATTTTTGTGGGAGAGAGGAACCACTAACTAATGGTTTCTTCCAAAGGAGCCAGTGGGTAAAGAAAATGGACAAGGGTCCCAAACAAATATTAGGCCGAGATTCCATCAATTTCAAAATCAACCCCACTTTGAACTTTGAATCATCTTAAACTTCCCGGGTGCGTGCCGATCGATGTTCGTGCAAGTTTTATGCAACTCCACCCCTGTTCTGTGAAAACATCACTCAAATTCTTCTTGGAAAAATGTGGTATCGATGGTAAAGCTGATATGCCTATGAGAAAATTATGGAAAAAGTATTATTCGGAAGCAAGGGATGGGACTTCTGACTCTTCAACCATAAATATGCACGAAATTGTAAATTATTGCGTTATAGATGCTTTACGTTGTCAGGAGCTCATGGTGAACGTGAATATCATAAAAAATTATAGGGAAGTCGGTTCTATCGCTTATATATCATTATTCGACTCACATTATTATGCCATAGGAACGAAAGTATCCAATATTTTGGGTGCTGAAGCGTGGGCCCAAGATATTCTATTCAGTATGAAAATTTCTGACCAGAAAACATCTATAAAGTTTCCAGGAGCATATGTATTCCCGCCGGAGAAAGGTCTTGAAAATAAGCGCCCTGTCACAGGTTTAGACTTCTCTTCCTTGTACCCCAGCATAATTATGACTTATAACCTCTCACCTGAGATGGTCTCAGCACTTTCGGAAGCAGATGAGTTAAAGCGAGAGAATAAAATGCTTCACAGTATCGAGTTCAAATATAACGGCAAACTTGTGCGAGCTTGGACTATACGGCATGTAAATAAATCTGATCAGAAAGGTCTATTTCCAAAAATATTGGAAAATTTGCTCAATACGTATGCGAAATAAAATGAAGGCTGAGCTAAAACTTTTCAGAAAGAAAAAAATATATATGGAGTTACTTAAAGGTAGATTAGATTCAGCCAGCGAATCTACCCCAATAGCGAGCATAATTAAGGATGTTCTATCCTCGACAAAAGATACGAAGAAGCATACCGAGATGGCTGAAATCCAGAATCCCTTTATTAATTCATCCTACGGCGATTTTAAAAAAGAGTATAGTTACGTCTGCTTCGATTACAATTTAAAGAATTCGAAGCAGAAAGCCGTTAAATTGTATAAGAATTCATTCTATGGTGTGACAGGTCAAAGTTACTCTCCATTCTACAAACTTAAGCTCGCTGGGGGGTGTTACTTCGGCTGAACGAGAAATATCAAACTCGTTGCAGAATTTGTGAAAAAAAAAGGTTTTGAAATAAAATATGGTGATACCGATTCCCTATATCTCACTTGCCCAGATTCCTATTATGAAGAATGCCGATGCTGGAAAAGGCATAATCTCAAAACTAGAGTACTGGACCGAAATGGTCAAAATTACTATGGGAATAATGGAAAAATTGCGCAACGAAGTAAACAACTTTCTTAGGCCAAAAACAGATCGGATTATCTCAAAATGGCTTATGAAGAAGTACTATTTCCGGTAGTGTTTACTGGAAAGAAAAAATATTTTGGTATTCTCCACGAAGATAACCCAAACTTCAAACCGGATGAGCTTTTTATAAGAGGAATCGATACTGTGAAACAGGGTAAACCCAAGTTTTCAAAACCATAGAGGATAGGATTATGTGGAGAGCTATGGATATTAACAATGACTGATAACCAATCCCAAGCAATGATATTTCGAACAATTTATAGAGACCGATGCATGGAAACCCGAAGTAGACAACAAAGCTGTTCAGCGTTTTATGGGACGAATAAGAGGAATATGCGATACTAAGATTCCGGTACCAGGTGAGCGCTTTAATTATGTAGTAGATACGACTTTTGATTTGCATGGTAGAAAGTTAGACCCAACTAAAGGCGAGAAAATAGAATTTGTGGACTTAGCTAAGGAATTGGGTAAGGAGTTAGATTTATATTACTACGAAAAACTATCATTGGTATCTGTGCCCGATTTATCATGTATGATACTATAAGAGACATGAGCCGATCCCTTGGATAAAATAATGCAAATCAAAGATCCAGATGAGAAATATAAGCAAATAGATGATTACGCTCGAAAGAAAACCAAGTTGTGGCATGAGGGCTTTGTAAAAGAGAATATCGTAGTGAATGATGTTACTTTCAAGATGATGGTATCCTGTGGGATTGCTTATAAACGTTCTTACAGAAGTGCGATCAAAAAAGCGCGAGAAATATTGTATCAAAAGATAGGTAGCTCATGCGAAATATTTCATGGTGAATGGCTTAGCTACGAGATTTTTATGGCAAATAACCTTGTCGAGATATTATGGGAGAAATTTGTGAAATATGCCAGGAAAATTTCAAATGATAAAAACCTCTCGGTAGATGACGAAATTAAGGAAATTGGTCTATCCATGCGAAAAGATGCTGACCTACCCGCCTTGTCTCACATATCAGAAATTGAGGCGCTAGATGGTATTAGTAATTTATGTATTTCCATCGTGAGGATGTAACTGGGTTGGAGACGCTAATCTAAAGCACTTACTGTAAATGGATTATATTATAAGTACTTAGCTGAAATTGCTAGAATACTTATAATATTATTTACATATTTTTTCTCGTGCAATAATATCGGCTAACTTCGGAAATGCCCGGAGATGGTAAAAAATAGTTCCAGTTAGGAGAATACTCGGTATTACTTTTTTTCCACGAATTCCGGCATTTCCTAACCACAAGCCATATAACCACAATCAGTAGTAAAGCAAGTATGGAATATGTTACCATCGGTGACATTAGAGAACTCGTAACAACAGGAACAGCCACTGGTGCTAGAGGCATTTCTTGGGACAATGGTACTGCTTCTGTGCCACCCAATTGCTTTGCAACCCCTTCCCTCGAAATAAGGTTTTCGGAATTTGCTGGTCGACTATGAATGGATTAATTGGGTAGGATTTCTGTCTGGCTTCTCGAATCCATCTCATCCCGGGAAAATAGCTCTTGCAGAGCCTCTAATATATTTTCTCTGGCAAAACTTTTATCAAGTTCCATAACTTTATTTTCAAGACCGTGATTATAGACGAGAGGTCTTAGATCACCACTGACCCAACCTGGTAGCTTTTGTGATGAATCATTCATAGACGGAGGCAGGAGACTAGATAGACCTGCTATTTCTTTATCTTTCTTTGAGATTATCTCTCGGAGACGAGAATTTTCCTCCGTTAAATTTAATCGCGCCGAAGATAAAACATCTATTTTCTGACTAGTTATCTCATGTGTCGCTTCTTTCCCTTTTTCCATACATTCTATTGTATATTCTTTTGAATTAAAGTCCTCCTTCACTTGTTCCAATTCAAGCCTGAGAGAATTGGTCTCTTTAGGATCGGATGAGCTTGTTTGGGTCGGCTCCTCCCCTCCCACTACATTCGAATCTTGGAACATTTGATTTGGTCTCAAGTCCTCAAACTTACCTTCCAACTCACGTACTTTAACTTCAAGAGAAAGAATCTGGGCCTTGTTATCGGATGAAGCTTTATGGGCCAAAGTTGCCTCTCTCTTTAGTATTTTAATATTTGATTTGAGCGATTTGATTTCAGCCGAATATTTTCTTCAAGTTCACTTTGACTTTCAGCATGAGACTTCTGTTCAGAAATAAGTTGGGATCTAACTTCAGTACTGGACGCATTTAACTGGCTAATCTTATTTTCAATATCAACATAGGTTCGCTGATACGTACTCATTTTCTCGCACATTGTACTTATCTACCAGCTTTTGAGTATCCTTACGCTGAATTAATAGTCGGAAGACAAAATTTTCACAAACAATTCGCCAATACGTTTTTGCCTATTTTGAGCCAATTGCCAATTATTCCTCAGACCCCAGTAAGCATTTGTATATTGGTTTCTAGCATCGCCTCTACCTGCCTATTTTCATCATTTAAAGCATCTGTATGTATCTGCGTAATTCTTTCAGCTTGAATTCGGGATTCATCTAACAAACGTTGTAATCGTAAATTCTGATTTCTAATATCATTCAACTGATTCCTATAATCATTTAACCGCCCATTTGTATCGTTTAATAAGTTTTGATATTGATAACGCTCTCAGCTGTGATATTCTGCAAAGTAACACGAATAGTATTTAACGAGCCTCTGATACCATCTACAACATTGATGAGATTCTACATAGGCGTACCAACCCCCTCTAATGTGCTTTTCAATTCAATTTAATCCTCTATTAACATTTGTAATAAGATTGGTTGTTGTCATATCTAAAGCATTTATTGAGATTTTTTTATATATGAGAATCCGGATTCTTGCTTTAAGACTCCCAACTTTATTTTCGAGCTCTATGATTTGGCCATCTTGAATAGATCAGCCTCATCTTTGAATTTTTTATCCCGTTGTAAATCTTAAGCTGTTTTCGCAAATCGGATATTTCTGATTTAAATTTCTCTATTACTTTCTCGTGGGCTATGACAGTATTATCCTGTAATGAGATGGTTCGTTAACATTGCTTAAGCTCCTTTACGAGGGAGCAAATTTTTTTCTTATTACTTTTATTAATAGAAATCTCATCTTGGAGCTCATTGCTCCTGGTTCGTATCTAAAAGTTGTGAATATACTAAATCACATGAAAGAATAGGCATAGTATTTTCGATCCGATATAAAGAACATCATCTAATCATCGCCTAAGAATGAAACCACAAATTATAATGGATCCTAATGAAGAGCTCCGTATTGTGTGTAGACTTTTGTATTATAATAATCCTGGATTTTGTCCGAATGCTAAGGAATTGCAAAAAAAATGTCTAGACGAAGGGTTCCAATTGTGGGATATTGAAAAGTGGTTAGGATACCAATATACGTAGCTATCAAATTTATCGACACCCATTGTAAGGCTGAGGCAAGTTTTTCAAAGATTAGGATTCCAAACAAAGTCCGTCAATGCGATATATTGCTCCATACTCATGATCGAGATGGTGGAAGGGCTTGCACTCTCCTAGTTATTGATGCGGCAACACGTTTTAAGGACGGACGCACACTAACATCAAGAAATAGCTTAGAAATCTGGATTGCGATTAAAGATATCTATGAAGATCTTTCTGACCCTTTTACTTGGCCAAAATTATTAATGACTGGTGGTGATGCTTCGTTCCGAGGTGCATTTTCACGAGGAATGAAACAGTATAATGTTACAATACGTGCTGTTGACCTTTATAGTTTTGAGAGTCTGGCTTTCATTAAAGCATTTAAGAAAACAATAGCAAATTAACATATAAGGTCCAATATGCTATAGAGGAACGATTAACTGATGGGGAGAGATCGAGAATATTTAAGAGAATCCTTAAGAAGCATACTGATTATCCGAATAACAGTAAAACTTGCTTTAATGGAATGCCACCAGCTCGTGTTATGACTTTGGAAGAGGTTGAATAAAAGCCTTCTAAAAAACCCAAGCGTACAATAGGAAAAGATAAGATAAAATTACAAAAAAGGTACAGAGGCTAAATATCTGTTAAAAGCAGGCGAGTTGGAAGGAGACCATAGACGTAGAGCAACCGATTCATATTGGAGCTCGCGTGTCTTTAAGATAAAAAGTTATTATTGGAAAAAATCCACCACGGCCCGTCTTATATTATCTTGAGGATGAACCCATTGAATCAACCGCTCATCTGATAGGACGAAATCCCGAAAGACATTTTAAATATGAGGAACTTCATGCAATCGAAGAACCTGATAAAATCGAATACCCACCCGATGAATTTATGCGAAAATATTACCATACTGGTTTTGTTCATTATGTTCAAGTTGTTGATGATCAACCAACCAAAGCCCATCAATATGCCGAAAAACGTGGTGGACTATGCCTTGGAAACTGGGCAAATAAATTGTCATGATATACAGTATATCTTTGGTCTTGCGAAAATGGTGCGCATCAATGGGAGTATACATTAAAAATATATCATGAAAAATTCTAATGGAGTCTCTTTGCCACCACACTACTGAAAGAACTGTACAGTATATACTGTATTTGAGGATCTACTAGGCAAGAAATTTCCATCATGTAGGGCGAATTTTTTGCATGGAATGCAACTTGATGGATATAACGAAGAGTTGCGACTAGGACTCGAATTTCATGGCAGGCAACACTATATTCTTAATTCAATGTTTCATAGAAGCCAGATAGATATGGATGAACAGAAAATGCGCGATCATAAGAAGCGAGATATATGCAAGGAACAAGGTACAGTATATGCCTTATCGAAGTGCCCATACATGTGACCTTTTTCCCTATATTAAGCATGCACTTATCGAGAAAGGATTCTTGAGTGATTCTCCAAGTTAAGTTGGAGAGTATTATTTTCTTGGCATTTTTCCGAGACCGCGCGGTCTCGCAAATTTGCAAGATTTTTTTAGTATATCATTAGTAATACAGTAGATGGCTTGACATGAAAATAAAAAAGCTTGAGCCGACTGAAGGCTTATATACCATATTGACGAGATTAAAGATGCTCAAAAATATAATGGCAATTCCAGCGCATCTCAATGGCCTTTCACATTACTAATCTGTGCCGTACTAATTCTAATGAGGTTCTCAATCTCATGTTTGTAAATAAGCTTTATCGGGTGTTTAATGAAAAGAAAGGAGGGACACGCTATATTAAGCGTGATCTAATCGGCCACCAACTCAAGGAGCCGAAATATACAGTAGGGGACAAAAAAAATTGCCTTTTTTTCAAATATATTTAATTTAATAAAGAATTATCTAAATTAAATCAAACTTAAAATACAAATACTTAAATACCTAAAAATTAATTTTACTTAAGACTATTTATAACTTTTATTTTTATAATTATTTTATATTTTATTTTAATTAAAAAATTTTATATTATACACAAATTTTATAAAAAAAAACTCTTTCCCATAACCCCTTTTTTCTTAAAAATTTTCTTATAAGGCAATTTTCCCAAGGAAAAAAGTAAACAATGAGAAATAGCAGTTTTAAAGATCAAATACAATATGGTAAACTTCTCTATAGAGATATGCTTTCCCTATGATGCTACATTCAAGTACTCTGGACCTGCAGAACAGCTGGACCAAGTAAAGGAGCTCTTTGCCAAATGGATAGACAGGGCTTCTTTTGTCTACTTTAATAACTCTAAATGACAAGTCTTCTCTTCTCCACTTGATCCAAGTTCCTCTAAAAAGAAGAAAAAATGTTATTCAAAAAAAGGAAGATGTCAAAGAGACAAGAAACAGGGTAAACCAAAGGAAAAACAATCTTTACCTAAACAATCTCTATCTTTCAAGGTATGTAAATATTCTGAATATGATGAGGACTTTACTAGTAACACTTTACGAAAGAATCATTTCAATAGATATCACAAACTAGATACTATAGAAGTTGATAAACATATCAAGAAATATTATGGATTGATAAAAGAATCCAGAACTTATTCAAGCGAAGAGTCCAGTTAGCCAGTTCAACTTCTACATCAGTAATATACCTTAGTAACCAATATAACTTAATGAAAATTGAGACCAGACAAAAATACTGCAGTGATCTACAAGAACTATATGCTAGCAAAAACTTAGAGGACAAGTTATTAATCTATGTACCCAACAACTATAGTGGATAATATAACAGAAAGAAGACATTTTTATCAGATAACCCAAAATTTTCTCATTCAGATCCAACCTAATTCAAGACATACTCCAAAATATGCAAGTACAAGACCTTTCAATACAAAGACAAATGGAAACATCCAGTTACATCAAACATCTCACTTATATTGAAGATATAATGTTATCAGAATAGTACAATAATAATCAAAAAGGACTCGAAACACATAACATCCTATGGATTGAACAAGTCCTCAACATCTATTACACCAAAGCCCTCAACTGGCACCAAATAGGAACTCTGCACAATAAAATAATCAAAAGAAAAGAACCAACATATTTTGCAATCCTCAAACACACTATGCAAAATTATATCAATACACACATCTCATACAACAAGTTGAATCCCAAAGCTCAACTCCAACAAGAAACAATGAATACACAAAATCAACTAGATAAACATGAACGTTCCTAATACATCTTCCAATGAAACCATAATCTATACCTAGAGAAGACAATCAGCAGAGAAGAGAACTAAATAAAACTTTGCCACTATACTACTATAAGTACTTCACCAGTAACACAATGTCCAGGTTGCGAACTAAATAAAAAAATTGAAAATCAACCTGATATATGCTGTTTTAGAACTTGATCCAACCAAGCTATCCAAGTCCCAGTCATTAATACCACAAATACAAACACAGCCAATAACAACAAATTTTGCTACAGACTTCAAGTCTTATTAAATAGCATACAATGGTGGATCATAGAGCTAAACTCAATCTTCAGCAATATTGAAATCGATCTTACTCCACCAAACTTAAAAAACCTGACCAAAGTAGTATCCCTACAAGAATTCACCTTAAACAAGCTCACACAAATCCATAAATATCTCAAGAGCTCAAAAACAACAAACCTAACAATCGATGGAGCTTTCAAAACTATTAATCCCAATACTATAAGTATAGGTATAATCTTTTCAGACAACCCATTTCCACTAAATGAAGCAAGCATTAGCATCACAGGGCAAAGTTCAGCCTTTCGTGCCAAGATAATAGCAGCAACTATCACCACTAGTATTATACCATTCAGCATAAAAGCCACCATTCACACTGA